TTATGTTGGAGGCCATCGCTAGTAGGTTGGAGGCCATCGCTTTTAGCGTGGAGGCCATCGCTTTTAATGTGGAGGCCATTGCCAATAGGTTGCAGCCCATCACCAGTGGATGCATGGTTGGCCACCTGAGAAGTGGTGTTACGCTGGTTGATGGACACAGGATGGACAGTTATCCCCACCAGGGGTTCTTTGCATGGTGTCTTGCAGGTTTGGTTGCTTTAACAGACTTTACGCAGCCAAGCCACCGCAAAAAGGACACAGTGAGCACTGGCCAGGAGATCTCCGATCAGCAGGAGGTTTTGCGGCTGGCCACACGGCGGATGCTGGATGTGATGATAGGCGTTTGTTTGGCCATGGCACCCTGGCATAGCAATGTCCTGGAGGAGGGTGTGTGTGTGTTAGTGTGTTGGTGCTTGAAGAGAAAGAGAATATCGTAATACTACTGAGACTCTATATATACAGGCTGCGAACTAGGGTCGAAGCAACGGAAGAGGCTGATATGGGCTGATGACCAGTAGAAACATAATGTAGTTGGAACTAGATCCACTGCGATAATTCTTTGGATGAGAAACATCTATGTCTTTTTGCAACACGACGATCTTGGAGACACTATGAGACACTCAAGCGTCTCTGGGTGGCATCAGCCTGTTTGTATTCTCACTGTGTTGCCGGATGACGCCCGTGCAAGGTTAATCCAGCAAGCACATTGTGAGATGTTGACCTCTCAGGTGATGAGCCAAATTGAATTCTGAAAGTACATGGATTACTTACTACATACCGTAACTTGTTGAACGTCGCAATATGGCAATATGTGTTAAGTGCCAAGCGGAATGATTGAAGCCCGGGTTGGGGAACCACTCATCCATTTGGATTTGGATGGCTTGGGGTTTGAGACTCTCTTCTCCCCAGCCAGGGGTCAATGGGCATCCTTGCGGCTGACATTGGATCCCAAACCCGAAGATTCGAAACCCAGTGAGATTCATGTCACATTCAACTTGATGCTCTCAGTTCGCCAACGTTTTCTTCTTCCCCGAGCGGGCCGTCGATGAGCTTCGCGCACGTGGCTCGGCATCAGTACGCATATCCATGACAGTGTGTAGGCAGAACATGACAGGTGCATGGGGGAGATTTGGCAACTTGTGACGTGGAGTTGTTTGTAGCCCCTCGGCTACCCTTAAAGCCATCCTCAGTTTCCGACATTGACTACTTGGTTTAAAGTTTAATGCTGGAAGTTCTTATAGTATGCTTGTCAAAGAGGAAGGGGAAGAAGAAGAGGAAGGAGCAGGATGGAGAGGAGGAACTCTGTTTCGCTTTCGCTTTCACTTTCGCTCTCTCTCTCTCTCTCCCTCTCTGTCTCTCTCTCTCTCTCTGTCTCTACAAGTATAGGTTCAATCCTTATATGAGCAGCAAGAGGAGGGCAAGTCTGGTGGATCACGGACGAGGAGGACCGGTCCGCTGCAGTCCATGTGAGCAAGTTCTGTGGCAAAACCTTCGGCTGGCTGAGATGAAGTCACCAAGCGAATCGGCTCTGTACTACTAACAGGTAGGTATTCGCAACATGCCCCCGGCCACAATCCAAAGGGGTGAGGGGGGAGTCGAACCCTGGGGCGAGCTGAGCCCGAGGCCAAATCCTGCACAACGCCTCACCAACCTCTGCTCTGCTCTGCTTTACTTTGCTCCGCAGCCCCAAGAACGTCACACCCGAGGCGAACTCTTGTCCTTCCAACGCACCGCGGAGGCGATCCGCACCAGCTCAGCAGCTTGACCAAATACTATTAGAAGGGAACCCACCCAACCGAAACTGACCTAAGGGCTCGCAGATTTGTTTGTGTCCATTGTCCATCTCAGTGCATCGGCTTCCACTGGTCCCATGCTGCAGGTAGTCCTAGCAGGCTTGGCAGCGCGCGCGCCAGAACCAGAGGAGCTCGGCGTAGGGCTTTTGTCGCCGAGAGTCTTAGTCAGCACACCAGTATTTGACTACAATTCCGGTCTTTGGGGTGTTATGACAGACTGCTTTGAGAAGCAATCACTGTGTATTGGTGCTCTCGGAGTTGTCTTGATTCTTCTTAATTTGTTCGACCAACTTGGTGCTCAAGAAGCTCTCCATCTCATTGTTAAAGTGCTGTTCCGTAGACACTGTTCATCCCACGCACAACTGCAAGGAGCGTTTGCATCGGCGCATAATTAGGAAACGAAAAAAGTGCACGGGTGAACGTGGCATGTCGCTGGAGATCGGGATGATTGGCGGTGTCAACGAGTCAACGAGGCTTGGTGTTATATGCATTGTTGTATTCATTCTGTGGCCCACGGCAAAACTACATCTGTGATGCAGCTGTGCCATGCGGTTTGTCACGGCCTCGGTGGAACGCATAGTTTGCTTGGCTCCGTGGCGTCGCGAAACGAAAAGCATGCGTGCGTAAACGCGGCGTGTCGCTGGATGTCGCTGGGGAGCGGGATGGTTGGTGGTGTCAATGAGGCTTGCGTGGCGGCGCGCTGTTGTATCTATTTAATCTGCGCTGTTGCCCAGCCTCGGTTCAAGGTGCATTTGCGCGGCTTCGTGCCATTGGAACGGGAAACATGCGTGCGTAAACGTGGAATGTCGCTCGAAGCGAGATATGTGGAGCGCCTTACAAGAATGCCGCCCCACAAAAGTGTCTTAGACAAGATTCCGACAAGAGCACCTTGCACGACAAGAGTGTCCTCACTGCCTTACTCCTGTGTCAAGGAGTGTCTTGCGCAGAGTGTCAATGAGTCCACCACAGGCCCCACAGATATATCTTGAGATCGCTACATCTACTTTTTCAGAATTAGTGCCATTGTGATCACCATCACCATCATCATCATCACCGTCATCATCACCATCATCTTCATCATCATCATAATCATCGTCATCATCATCATCATCGCGCTTACCCTGTGTCATCTTCTACTCTGTTTCCTGGCCACCCTGTCGCCGTCTAGTTCTCTAAAAGATGTGCACTTGATCGTGCAGAAAGCCAGTGGTTATGGCTTGGATTTGGCCCGTGTTGTTATCGCATGATTTGATATTTGGACCAGCTCTAGGCCGCCAAATTTGGCTTGTTTAGGTCGACTCCCCTACCTATCACTAATGTTTCTTCAGACGGTTTTTTCCGATAGTGCCGCTCCCTTAACAATCTCCTTTGTAAAGCGTAAAGTGCCAAATGCTTCCCGCGAACCGAGATCCAGCTTGAATTTCTTAATTCTAGCGCCGCGGAGCACCATTCTCAAGTGTGTATCGCAGCTCTTCTGTGGTAAGCTGTGTGATCCTCACAGGGGCGCCGTTCCTGAGTCTCAATACTATTTCCAGGAGAGCAGTTTCCGAAATGTCCCACTAGGACCTCTTCTTGACAAAGGCTGTTGTTGCTTGAAAGTCATCTCAAGAATGCATTTCACCCTCGAACCTTGCATTCATGCTGCAAAGTTTCGGTATAAATCAACTACTGAATCCGTTTCACGCGTGAATTCTCAACCTCAATTTGTCACAACTTGCCGATTCGTTCAGCACACTTGCTAGGAAGACACAAGTGTTGCAGTCTTTCTCTCCTTCCTGTTTCGTTTCTCTTTTCCGCTTTCTTCTTTAAAGAAGCTTTTGAGGTGTAACTCAGGTTGCGCCGGGCTCGGCTTCTTTGTGTCAAATCACCGGACACTGTTCCGACTGGATCTCAACTAAGTTGCCGTTCATTCGGCAATATTCGGCGCTTTTGCTCGGCAGACACGCATAAGACTACACCTACTTTCACTCTTGCCTAGGTGGCTATATTCAGGTTTTTGACATGCTTCTAGTTCTTACTGGCTACAGGCTATAGGCTTGTTAGGTGGCTATTCAGTTTCTGACACGCTTCTGTTGCACTACTTCGCTCGTACGCAGTCTCACCACATTTCAGCCGGGGTCCATCCCAGGGCCAACGAAGACGGACTCACTTCTTGTGTACCTGCATTAGTTTTAAAATCGTAAAGTGTTAGTTAAATGCTCCCCCCCGAACCGAGATCCACCCTGAATTTCTGAATTCAAGCGCCACGGAGCACCATTCTCAAGTGTGTCACGTCCACAGCGGCTTTGTGAAGCTGTATTTGGACACCCGGCATTTCCATGCCATTTCAATACCAGCCAGCGCCAGCCACCTGAGAGGCCACGGAGAAGTGAATAGTGAAGGAGCCAAGTCCGAGTCATCATGTGCTCTTGTCTCTGTTCGATCCATCGTCTGCAGGCTCGTCTCACACTCTGAAAACATGTCTATTGACGGGCGAATCTTCTCCAGGCCCACAAGATGCTGATTCTGATGCACCAGCTGCGCAACGTTTGCGCGTTCAATGAATTCTTGGTTCTGTGTGCCCGGCCCAGCCTTTTCCATGCCACCGCATTCAACTGGGTGGAATAGAGTGCCTCGAAGTAGGTGCGCGGGCTTCTCAGCAGCGAGCTGCCAGAGAGCATGGCAAGCGGCTCTTGGGTTGTAGGCGCAAGATTGGTTTATGGGGGGGTTGCCCTGTGATCTGAGGGTGTCACGGGTGATCCAAAAACATTAATTTTTGGAATTCAACATGACCTCAAAAAACTGTCCCAATCACCAATTATGTTTTAAACTTGACTTGTTTATTTTTAAAGAGGTCCAGGGCCAGGCCAGGGGTTTGTTTTTGTTTTCGGTTGAACTGTTCTTCAGTGTTCTAAAGACCTGCTTTAATTTTCTTTGTGTGTTTCTTCTTGCATTGGTTTGTTTTGCGTTTTGAGTCATGTTTTTCGTTTTTTATTGGGATCTGTTTCCGATTGGCATTATTTTGTCCATCGGTCGGTCTATTTTACCGGACATGTTTGTGTTTGCTGCGAGGACTCTTGGGACGATCTGCGAGCAGATCTCTTTGCTTCGGCGGAGGCATTGGCTGCATTGCCCGCGGGGAGTACTGGAGATGACTTTTGTCTCGCTGCTGTGCGTCTAAGCAGTGCGTGTGATATGTCACTTTTTTGGATCGGATAGAACAACTTTGAGCAATGATGTTTTAGACCTTTTGCATCAATATGCATTGAACTCAGGTCGAAGTGCGTTTGCCTTTTACCTCTGAGTTGGTCCTAGCAGCGGGGCATACTCCAGATTGTGTGTTCTGGTATGGTCCACTTCCTATTAGTTTACCACTCCGGCCGGGTTCGGCGCAAGTGGGGACATTGCTTCGAGGCACTCCCTGTTATGTGCCACCCCAGCCGCCCACCAATAGGGCGTTAATCCAACAGAGCCTGACAGGGCCTTAAGGGTTTTCCCAGGGAGGGCCATTTTAGGAAAATTTCTCGTGGCGCCTTCGTGGCTTCTGTGGCTTTTGTGGCTTTTTGTTTTCAGAGCTTTGCAGAGAAGAAACCAAGCAAGCAAGCAAGCAAGCAAATCACGAGCTGCTCTCCTTTGGATCTGGTGTGCTGCTGGGGGGGGGCGCTGCGCCCCCCCAACCCCCCCCCGCGCCACGAAATCTGCACTTCATCTCCGACACTTGCACCTGCCACGAAATCAATATTTTAAGGCGAAATCCCCCGCGCAAACATTTCTAACCAACAAAACACGCCTCCTGCGCTAGTTATTTTTCTCTTTGCTGTTTCTCTGCGAACTGCACCAAACTGTTGTACCAAACTGTTGTGATAGGTAGAAATTTCTCTGACACCTACACTATTCCAATGTATTTTGCCAGCTACAACAGCCCCCAAATCTGTCTACCTATCCATCTATCTGTCTATATCTGTCGATCTATCTATCTATCTACCTACCTACCTGTCTGTCTGTCTGTCTGTCGATCTGTCTATCGATCTGTCTATCTATCTCTTTCTTTCTCTTGTCTTTCTTTCTTCCTTTCTTTCCTACCTACCTACCTACCTATCTATCTATGTATCTATGTGACTATCGTTCCATTTATCTGTCTATCTTTCCATCTGTCTATCTATCTAGCTATCTAGCCACGAAGTCACTTCAAGGTCCACAAAGTACTGTGCCTGCCTGCTCTCCAAGGCCCACAAAGTCCTGCACCTGCCACGAAATCTGCACTTCAACATCCAGAAAGTCCTGCACCTGCCACGAAATCTACACTTCAAGGGCCACAAAGTACTGCGCCTGCTACGAAATCTGCACTTCAAGGTCCACAACAAGTACTGCGCCTGCCACGAAACACGAAAAACAAAAACAAAACAAATTCTAAATTAAATCCGAGCCCTTTTCCCAGCAGCTCGAGATGGTTACAACTCCAGAAATCATGTCCTTTTGGAGGTGAACTGTTCTTAGTTAGTTAGTTTATATAGTGAAAACACGCACTTTGCACAATGCAATTATTGGAGGTTTTATAATGTTTTTTGAGCCCTCATTGGCCTCAGTTGATCCTCTAGATAACCTTTGTTGTTTTTACAAAATCGTTGATTCTTTGTTTCGGTTTCCTCTAGCTGCAAGCTCCACAGGTCAAACATGTTGAATCATGACCTTTCGGTTTCTACATGTTTCTACCAGTGGTTAGTTTAATACTAGGGCTCCTGGCCGTACTACTAGGAACCAGAAACTACTAGGAGCAAAGGGCATCGCTACTAGGAGCAAGGACGCTACTAGTAGCTCCTGGCCTTACTACCAAGAGCAGAAGCTATTAGGAACAAGAAACTACAAGGGGCTCCCCACATCTCTACTTTTTGTTCGATTAGAGTCGTCCTTCGGCCGCAGGCGATGAACTTCGCAGGTGATGGCCGCCCGGGGGTCATGGACTTGCTCCTTGGCAAAGCCCGCAAGGTGTTCCTGGTCGGGTGGCGAAAACAGGGAACCTCACTCCACTGGTTCAATGCAGAGGATGGTATAGTTGATTGGCCACGTTCAGGTTTAGAGCCGTGTTTTGCTGTGTTGTGTTTTCCAAGTTTTGCAATTTTTGGTTGTGTTTGGGTGTCCCGGGGGCCCCACAGAGGTGCAAACTTATGGGTTGTGTAGCGCATTGCAGTTGGAAGTTGTGCCGCCTGAAGACTTTAGGTTGTCGGATGCCTATTTTGAGAGCCAATGGCGTGTGGCTGGCGGAGCACGAGTGCTTGGACTCTTGGTTGAAAAGGTGTTCGTCCCTGACTCATGTGGCCTTGGGTCCAAAACGCAGTACACCGTGAGAGACAGTTCTGCTCATGCAGTGAATCTATTTGCCGAAACGTTTTGTTAACGAAGCGGACATGACATGATGCAACAAGGGCCCCAGCTATACTGTCAACATAGTTGAACCTGTCCAAAAACTGCAGCGCCGTGGTCAGCACTTTTGACGGGGCGTCTATCGTTTTTGAAACTTGTCCAATCAGATGTCTATGATTCACGACTGCTCCTGATGGTTCGAGGCCATTGCTATTATGTTGGAGGCCATCGCTGGTAGGTTGGTTGTCATTCCTATTCGGTTGGAAGCCATTCCTATTAGGTTGGAGGCCATTCCTATT